TGATTGTGTAGAGGTGTAGTATGTGTTTGGGACTTATATATTGTCAATTGCAGGTCAAAATTTTTGGGTTTTCAAGAACCATTCATTGTCTTTGCCTCTAATTTTTGCAGAGTGCACACCACTTGCTCGACAAAATTCTTGAACCAACTTCATCTCTCTAAATGACACCGCTTTTGGCATTATTTTGTTATCCATTTTAAACTTGTGGCTAATGTGTGCATATTTGTGTTTTGTATGGATTTTTATCTTTCAATAAAATTCATGTTAGTGTTATTATCTCTGTTTTGATTTTTCTTAAGAGACCTATGCTTTTACATGTGTATATTAGTTTTGTTTTGACAGGTCTTAAAGTCCAAGTTTGGGAGGGAACATTTACGCATTCACATAGATGGAAACCTTTGCCTTTGTCACTCCACTTGATATTATTGGTCTTTAACCCTCTTTGCTCTTATTTTGATTTACTTGTTGTCCCACATTGAGGATAATGTGTCATTCAAGTTTGGGGGTGCAATATTGCATTTTTGGTAGTACATTTTTGTAAAGCAATGATAGTGTAATTTGAAACTTGTCGAAGATGAAGCTCATGTTTAATACCTTGTGTATAGAATCAATTGTTGAGTTTTGAAAATAAAGAAAATTTGAAATGATCATGTGGATGCAATTAGTCTGTATAAATGTTTCAATTAGATTCTCATTAGATTTTATACTCTTTTATGCTTCACAATGCACAGATGCACACCGGAAACTTAACTGTGAGGCATGCAACTGGATTGACCTTGATTTTGACCTAGTTAATCTGAATTGATGAACCTAATGGATGGATACCTTTGGCATGAAAAAAAAAAAAAAAAAAAAAAAAAGAAGAAGAAGAAAAAGAAAAAGATAATGATTAGCTTAAGTTTGTAGCCTGGCTGACTCGAGTTATTAAGCCCTAGGAGTGTCTTTACACTTAGCACCCTAAAGCCGTCCGGTTTGGGAATTGTTGGCCTAACGCTTTTTACATGGGTTAGTTAGAAAGCTTAAGGGACTTAGGCATTGCACGGTCATTCACAAAAAAAAAAATAATAAAATAAAATAAAAATAATAAAATAATAATAAATAAATAAACATGATCCGTTGGAGTTCGTAGCCTTGCCAATTCAAGCCATTAAGCCCTAGGAGTGTCTCTACACTCAACATCCTAAAGCCATCTGGTTTGGGAGTTGTTGGCCTAACGCTTGCTAAATGGATTGGTTAGAAAGCTTAAAGGACTTCAGCATTGCACAACCATTTTATGTATCATTTTTGAGTTATAATAAATTGTCAGCAAGTAACAAAAGTTGTTTTGTAAATAAATTCATGCCTTAGTGACTTCATTTAAAGGGGAATTTAATGATTTGAAGACTTGTGTCTTGAATTTGGAAAAAGAAAGTAAAAGCCGCATGTTGAGAATCCAATCCACTTTCACTAAAGTTAGAGTTGATTTCTATTCAAGAGATGATAATTGAGTTATTTATATAGACTAGGATGCTGATGCATGAATGCTGAAACGTGTTTAGCAAACTTTTGTATCAATGCTTCATATATGCATGGTAGTCTGCTTAATGACCCCGTCTCTAGTCCTTTGTTTGTTTCAAGTTGTATTTGAGCTATGTATGTATTTCATTTTACCATGGTTGATTTTTTTTGTGGTAGTATTCCCATGGTTGTCATTTCATTGAGCTTTTCATTTTGGTTTTGCTAAGGGACTAGCAAAATGTAAGTTTGCGGGTGTGATAAGTGCCAAATATTGCATATTCAAGCGCCCTTAGTTGCATTAGTTAAGTTCATTATTTGATTATTTTATGTAGATTATCTTCATTTGCATGTTTTATTTATTTTCAGGTTTGTTTGCCAAAAAGGAATAAAAATGATGTTTTGATGAGTTCTTGAATATCAAAGTGTGTAATGCTGAAGTTTCTAGCCTGGCAGTAATGGAGTTCGGCTTTGCTCGTCCATTTTGACCCAACATACTTGAGAATTGGACTTCTATTAAAACATGGCATACTTAGATCTTTGAATTAGCTTTCTAAATCATTAAACAATTCTTCATTTGGAGTTCAGAGCAGAGAGTTATGGCCGTTTAACCAAAGGTGCACAGAACAGCCTAACAGCAATGAAGTTTGACTTTGCTCTTCATTTTAGACCCACCAAACTTGAGAAATAGACTTCTATCAAAACATGACATACTTAGATCTTTGAGTTAGCTTTCCAAATCATCAAACGAAGAATCTTTTGGAGTTTAGAGCAGGGAGTTATGGCCTTTTTACCAAAGTAGCTCAGAGTAGAACAAGTAGAAGAATGCAATCTGTTGCATCTTCGAGCACTCGAAGAAGGACCTTCAAGCACTCAAAATTCGGGCAGAATCACTTCAAGCATCTTCGAGCTCTCGAAGCCACTTCTTCGAGCGCTCGAAGGAACATTTTTGGCCCACTTGTGTCTTGAATCCTCCAACTTCAGATTTCCCTCTTTTATGAGTTGGTTGGAGATGTCTTTTGGGGGGAGTTGAGCCTCATTTTGAGGAGGTTTGGTAGGCTTATTGTCTACAAAAAAGAGAGGGGAACCAAGAGATTAGATATATCATTTTTTTTGCAAGATTTTTGGAGAGAGAAAAGGGAGAAGAGGATAGAGTTCTTGTTGCTAAAAAGGTGGAGCTCGAAAATGGAGGGAGCTCTAAAGTTTCTTCCTTCTTTTAGGGCATCCATGGGTAACTAACTCCTCCTCTAGGGAGGTGATGGAACCCCTCATTGTAAGTATGTTCTAATTTTGATTCTATTGTGGGGAAAATAATGTACTCCTGTGGTGATTCCATAATCTAGAACTTTTACTTGATGTAATGAACTAATTTTGATTTAATGATCATGTTGAATCTACTTTCTTATCTTAGAATGTATGTTTTCATGGTTGTATGGTTTACATTTTCATGGTGACAATGAAGATGAGATTTTTGGAATGGTTTTAATGGCATGTTGTTGAGAGATTTGATAGGCCATAGCTTAGGTTTTTCCTTTGATGGCTTACTCTTAATTCTTAGCTTCATGTGCTCTTATCATGTGATTGATGACTTGACAATTTCTAGCTTAGTGAACATGTCCAAAATTACACTTTAGTTTAGGTAGTTGAGCATGTAAAATCTTTGATAAATTCTTCTTGTTTATTGATTTCATGAATCCTTTGAAGGTAATGTAGTAACCTTGAGTAACTACTTATCATAGCCATATATTTATATTGTTTTCCCCCGAATGAATCATAGTCTAGCATGTTTATATTGTAAGTGGTGAAGTTGTTTCCCTAGCCCTCTTTATCTAGATCTCATTCCTTTACATTCCTTGCAATTTACTATTTTATACATTCCTAAATTCATAGTTTAAGTGACAACCCAACAAATCCTCTATAAACCCCCTTATCATTCTAAAAGATGATTTTAAACACTTAGGTTGCTATAGACTAGCAGTCCCAGTGGTTCGACTTACCCGACCAATAGCCCTGTTTTACAGTGATTTGTGCTATTGCAAAACGGGTAGATTTATAATTGTAATCGATCCGTCGATCAGTAGCACTTAAGACATATCTCTTATGTCCCCATAAATTCAAAACAAAGCATAGGACAATGGGAATGGGGGTCATATAATGTCGGGACAATACAACATGCTAACCAAATTCAAATACAATCAATGCAATGCCATGGAATGCAATGCATGCCGATGTCGCTCCCTATTTTCAAAACCTTCCATCTGTCACTTTTCAAACTGTTAATGTAACCCCCTTTAGTACGTTGGTGACTCCGCAGCGTCATTGTGGGGCCCAGATATCTCAACCACGCTAGGGCAATCTCCCTAATTCCCTCTAGGTTACATTAGCCTACCAGCCCTTTGGTGACTCCGCGGCGATTGGGTTTTCTCAAAATATTTTCATCAAAACACTTTCCCAAATTTCCCCATTTTCATTTCAAAATCAATTTTTCCCATTTCTTGCCCAATGTAAATGCGTAGATACATTAATGCCATGAATATATTCATCATTTCACAACTAACTCAATTTAAGTAAACAAGGCATAATTTCACAAGAATTTCTCAAGAAATTTCGACATGCTCTTATACAACAGTACATCTAGCATAACGAGCATATATAAATCATCACATAGGTAAGTTTTTCACATAAAACATTTAATACAAGTTCTCACATAACCACGTACACATGTTCAAACTACTTTAAACTACAACTAGCATAAATAAGCATGTCTTACAACAATTTAGAAGATATAATTCACATAGGAGCAAGAAAATTGTGGATTAAGAGCCCCTACCTCAAGATTGGACAAAACCCTTGAAATGGGTTCCAAATTTTGAAATCCAAGGAAGGCACCAAAGTTGAAATTTCTGGTACTAGTGCGTAGAGCTCATTGTGCTCTTCATTTTGCCTCAAACGGCACTTAAATCCGGCAAGAATTGAGAGAGAAATCTTGTCTTAAAGATTGAAACTCAAAAGAACGAAAAAAGAAAACTCTAGAAGGGGAGGGAGAGAGGTTCCAGTGGGAGTGAAGAGAGAAGGAAGAAAATGAGGCTTAAAACATGCATGTGGGTCCCACCATTTTTGAATTTCTTTTCCCTTTTTCTTTTACTCCAATTTCTACACCACACATATATAATGTAACACATAAAATACCACTTAATCCACATAAATTAAAATGCACAAAATGCAATGGACCCAACTAAAAACCCGTACACAAGACGTGAAAAGACCGAAATACCCTTGTATCAATGAATTACCAGAAAATGAAAAATGCCGAAAATCGAAAATGTCACAGCTATTTTTTCTCTATCTAAGGTGTACATAGATATCTGGTTGTATCCAGAATATGCATCCATGAAACTTAGTAGTTCGTGTCCAGCCGTCCCCTCAACGAACATATCGATTCTTTGGAAAGGAAAGTTATCCTTCGGGCAAGCTTTGTTAAGGTCAGTGAAATCCACATATAGCCTTCACTTTCCATTTGCCTTCTTCACTAGGACCACATTTGCTAGCCACTCGGGGTAGTACACCTCTTGAATAAAGTCGGCTTTTAAGAACTTTTCCACTTCTTCTGATATAGCCTGATTCCTCTTTGGAGCGAAAGTCCTCCTCTTTTGTCTGACAGGTTTGAAGTTAGGATTTACATTTAGGTGGTACTCCATGATAGTGGGGTCTATACCCGGCATGTCTTCATGCGCCCATGCAAATACGTCTCGATTCTTCCTGAGGAATTGAGTAAGTTCATCTTTGATACTTGGGGGGAGTAAAGACCCTACACTCACTTTCTTCTCGGGCTCACCATCACCAAGGATGACCTCTTCTAGCGCCTCTGTAGGTTCTGCTCTATGAAAGTCTAGCCTATCTCTCCCTTCCAGTCCTTCAATCGTAAGTGCCTCTTACGATTTTATTTTTCTGAGAGAGGCGACATAACATTCTCGAGCCATTGTTTGGTCCCCTCTTAGCTCTCCCATACCATATTCAGTTAGGAAACGCATCAGGAGATGGTAAGTGGAAGTGATTGCTTTCATGGCATTCAATGTTGTCCTCCCCAAGATAATATTGTATGATGATGGGCAGTCCACCACTACAAAGTCCACCATTACAGTAACTTACTTTGGATTGGCTCCTATAGTGACTGGAAGGGTAACTGCCCCCAGTAGATATACTTTGTCGCCTGAAAATCCCACCAGTGCTGACTTCATGGGTCGGAGCTTCTCTCGATCGATTTTCAATTTGTCGTACACCCCAAGAAATAGTATGTCAACCGAGCTACCATTGTCTATCAGTATTTGACGAATAGTGAAATTAGCGACGACCATGGAAACTACCAGAGGGTCATTATGGGGCTGGTGAATTCCCTTGTCATCTTCTTCAGAAAAGGTTATGATCGACTCCTCACCGCTCGGTAATTTTATTGGAAGACTTGTCGCTCCAACTTCATTCAGCTCTGAAAAACTCCGAATTCTCCTAGTATGAGCCCTCCGAGCCGAACTTGTCTCCCCACCACCAGCGAAGCCACCCAATATAACTCTGATCTCACCCATTGGTTAGTGTTGAGGAGGGCGATCATCTCGGCCCTCTCGGACTGGGTTAGAGCCTCCTTTTCCATTCCCAGTCATGAATTTGCGTAAATGACCTTTACGAACAAGGTTCTCGATCTGGTTTTTAAGGTCCAAACAATCTTCTGTGTTATGTCCATGGTCTTGGTGGAACCTACATTATTTATCTCGAGACCTCTTTCTTGGATCAGCTTTTAGCTTTGGCGGCCATTTTAATGATGCGTCATCTTGATTCTGCAGAAAGACTTGCTCTACAGATGTATTTAGGGGGGTATAGTTATTATACTTGCCTGGGCTCACTGGACGGCGAGACGATCTATAAGCCTGGCTATTTGAGAATTTCTTATACTTCGATTCCCTTTCCTCCCTAGTGCTAAGTGCTGGCCTCTTCTTATCCGACCTCTTATCTTCACCATCTTTGTTTTTTCGTGCATTCATTGCATCTTCAACGTTCATGTGCTTTCGCGCTTTAACCATTAACTCTGTCTTACTCGTAGAGGCTTCCTTTGATAAGGAAAATAAGAACTTAGAAGTCTGTAGTCCTCCCATAAAGGCTGTGAGGGCAACATTGTCGTCCACCTCTTCTACTTGCAGCATTTCAGTGTTAAAATGACTTATGTAATCACGAAGAGGCTCTCTCTTCTGCTGCTTCACATTCAGTAAATGTGTTGCTGGTCTCCTATGCTTCTACCCAGCGATGAAGTGTCCTATGAATTGTTTGCTCAACTCTTCAAAGTTTTCAATGGAGCCTGGCTTTAATTTATTGAACCAGAGACGAGCCCAACCCTTTAGTGTAGTAAGGAAAGCCCTGTACATAATCTCATCCGGTACGGCTTACAAATACATAAGAGCTTTGTAGGTCTCCAAATGGTCGAGAGGGTCCCGCATCCCATCGAAGCTCTCAAGAGTTGGCATCTTGAATTTGCTAGGTAGAGGACAACTAATAACAGTTGGGCTAAAAGCTAGGTTGTTCTTTTGCACCATATCGTTCACCACAGCCTGGCCCTTCCCTTTCATTGCTTACATGACATCGTCAACCTTAGCTTTCAGATCCTGCATCTCTAGATCGAAATGAGTGGCGTCCTCAATCTTGTCACCAACATAACTAAAAGTATCTCCACGGAGCCTGTTGGTATTCCGTTCAGGGGACCGATGGTGATGGCTCCTCTGTTGACCCCCTATTTGACTAAGCTCAATGTTGTTGTTAACCCTACGGGATTCATTGTTAGGTGTTTCTCTCCTCGTTGGGGGCGGCTAAGCGTTACAGAATCATCGCATTTTGCTGGACTAACTGGTTCACCATTTATTCCAAAGCTGCGACACATTCCTAATCGTTTGGGACGACGGGGGGTTGCCCCGTCGAGTCCCCTTCATCAAAAGTTTGCAACGCTTCGTCCTCGCCAGCAGCCAGACCAGATCGCAATCGAACCATGCTTTGCTTAGAGAACTAAAATCGTTCCCACAGACGACGCCAATTGTTGATGATGGATTCTGCGCAACCCGAATCTGATCTGACTTCCTTAACAGAGAGAAGAAAAGGTGATTCTACAAACACCGGTGTGTTATCGGTGGAGTAGGCTCCGACGAACAAGTCAGTGTGCAAAGTAATCTCTTTAGAGAAATCAAGAAATTGAGTTAGGGTTTATTGCGTACCTCAAAACATTGATTAGCCCGCCTTCTTTATAGGGCTTAGGCCAGGATGTCACGTAGAGTTACCTTCTCGTAATCTGTAGACTTAATCCTTATCATAATCTTTAATCCTTATCATAATTTGTAGAACCTATCTCAATCTTTAATCCTTATCGTAATCTGTAGAACCTATCTCAATCTTATGAGATAGTGCGTTAATTTAGCAATCTTCTCTTAATCATGGATATTTAAATTATACATCCATCAAGACTTTAGAGTGATCAAATTACCCTAAAGCAAATAGGAATTCCAGATCATATAGATAATAGGAAGTGTTACAAAATTTTGTTGTTTCGGCTAGAAATTTGCAAATGTATGAGGTTTGAAAACAACTTCGAAATTGGTCTCTTATCAAAAAAATACTGTTGATAGTGTGTGTATATATATTGACATATATACCCAACCACTCTTTTATTTAGATTACAAATCTCCCCTTTAACAGTTAATTAATTGATACTTTCATACGGTTCATTTGCTATTCTACCCTTATAAAAATGATATAATATTATTCTAATTTTCTTTTGAAATGAAATATATTATATAATCTTAAATAATTTTTGCATTAGCTTAAGTTTATATATATATATATATATATTCTAAGTTTTTATACATCGTCGTAGCTGACTTACTCTTTACTCCATTATCAAGGGAGGATATTTTTTTTCCCTTTGCCTTATCTTTTAACCGGCAGACTCTGAGACCACTGCTTTTCAAAACTAGTCCTCCATTGCACATTTTTCCAAACTTCACATGGTGGCCCTCTAATTTTTTTAAACTGTGACCCACATTAAAGTTGTGCAATTATTAAAGGTCTGCAACATTCCGCAGTCCCAAAAGTGAGATCCATTTTAGAAACGAGTTCAAATTTCTACCATTTGTTTTGTACTATCTTTTGTATTGCTTCCTTATTATAATTTTTTTTTTTTTTTTTTTCAAAAAGAGAGAAAAACTTTTGTACTGCATCAACTCCTTCATTTCCTTTTTCCTTTCTTGATTGCCCTTGTGAATCTTTTCTTTTCTGTACTTTCCTTTCGCTTGTTTCTTCTCAATTAATATCAGACTTCGTGTGTTGGTTAAATTTTAGTTTTTTTCTTCATCATATCTGTTGGGATTTATATGCCCTGGCATAGTAAATTCCTATTCAGATTAAAGTGACATAAGTTCATGACGTTTCTGAAATATTTATACTTTTATACAATTGGTGAATTCAATGTATTATGTTTCGATTCATTATAGAATTGATAGTGTCCACTTGATTACAAGAGATATTTATATATGTATGTGATGGCGATCAATACATGAATATAAATAGTAATCATAAATGATTCATAGTCGGTAATTATGGATGGACTCATAATTAATTAAGACTTGAACTGGATCCGCGTTAGGTTGAGATATATTGCGAGAGCCGTCATATGCAAGTACTCCTTATCACCGTCATGGCATTTGACTCTTAAGCATGAGAAAATTATAGACTCTTTTATTAATGAATAATTACTTTGATTTATTCGGCGGATTCTTCGGGATCCTTAGACCGACACTTTGGGTAGTTATGTAATTAATAGTTAGAGGGTTATATTTTCAATATTTGCATCATTGCTACTTGTATTTATTTTGTATTGATTATGGTTGATCACAAAGTAAATTCGAAAGCCTTCGTATGTTTTTAGACAAAATGATTTATTATATATTTATTTATTTAAATTATTATTTTTGTCAAACAAATGTTTTTATTGTGATCGAGCCAGAAATAATCAATGGTACGAAAATAAATATATTAATTAAGTAGTCAGATTGATGGCTTTATTTATCCGATAACTAATTAAGAATAGAGGGGTCAAAGTGCAATATTAACTTAGAGGTTATTTATTATTTAATTGGAGTTCAATTAATTTCTTTTAGTGGAGTAGAAATTAATTTATGAATTAATTGAATTGGGTCCATGGACCGGGCCAATTATTAATTCATTGTATCCAATAAAATAATAGGCCCAATGGATTCTCACTCATAGCCCAACTTGATATTGGAATCATATTAGATTTGAGACATATGAATTAGAGATTGAGAAGGATTTGTTGTTTCCTTTTCTTTATTTTTATGTTGCCTATAAATAAACATGGTCTATGTATATTTTGGGAGTGATTTTTGGAAAGAAGGAAAAAGGAATAAATTTTCTCTCTTTAGAAAATTAGGGTTAGTGTTCTCATCTAATGGAGGCTACCACAAGCCTAGTTTTCCAAAGTCATTCATGGAGGCTTATAAGTGATTTCTAAAGGCAAGACCATTACCAAGAAGATGGAGATCCATGGAAAATGTGTCTAGCAAAAGGGATCTACAATAAGTGAGAACATTCACTTTAGAAGAGAGATCTAAGGTTTACTCAAACCTTGATGTAAGTATTTAATCTTTTAATTGAATGATACATCATGTTTTATTTTTACATAAAACTTGTCTCTATGTGATGAATCAAGATCTATGAATTAAAATCCCTCGAAAAGTTTTTAAATATTGCACGTTTCCCAATAGTGGTATCAGAGCATGGTTTGATTCATTACTAGAGATCATGATTTTATGAAAACCATCATTCATGGATCCAAATTTATATATGCAAATGTTTATATTATTATATGATCATGATGTATGTATAATTGTGAATGAATGATGATGTATGTTTAGGCCATGGATGAAGCTTATAGGTTAATTGAATGTAATTTTATCTTTGAATGAATGTAATTAAGGCTTTGATTTAGCCGTTTGAAAGTTCAATGATATAATTTAATTTTTTCCATTGTATTTCAAATTGTAAATATTTTTAAAGCCATGTAATTTTCATCAAAGGATGATATGAAGCT